CATGTATCAGGAAGGTAATTTGCTGAGTTTTAGCTGTTTCTTAGATTTTTTTTCTCTCCCAATTATATGCTTTGGAAAACATCCTGTGGTCAGATGAAAGCCGATTAGGCAGAAATAGTTTGAATCCTAAGAGCAGTACATTTTTTTCCCCTTATTTTCTTGCCTTCAGCATTACATAAAATAGGTTTGCTTTACCCCCTGAGTTTTCATTTGGGGTGAATGTGTCAGTAGGGTGGGTAATGAGCTCTGCACGGATTCCAGACTCATTAGAGTTTGCCTCCTTTGTTGTTGATTTGACGCTAACATTCTTTCTTTGATATTACCTTTGCTCCATGGGAGTTTGGTGACCACATTTCTTTCTGGAAGAGTCCTAATACCATCAGCTGACAGATAATTATCTTTCACATCAATACCTCCTCCTAGAAATTCCTGAAGAGCAGCTGCAATATGGTTGAATGGCTGCGTGATTATTTTCCATGTTCAGGGGTAATTGCAAAGCAGTTGATAGCAAATTGCTTATGACCATTAGTTGGGAAGCCTTTTACCATCTAACCTATTAAATTCACACTAATAGTTAAATATAAAGTTTTCTCAAACTGCAAAGAAAAAGCAGCAGCAAGATAATTCAAAACTTATTTGTACCTGTTACTTAAACGAAGGATAGATGTGCATAGACCTTACAACCCAGCAGTTGTAGTCCTAGGAACACCCGACAGAAACATATTTGTGTTCATCCAAAGCATATCCAAGAATGTTCTCGGTGACATGCTTCATTAAAAAGAAAAAAAAAAAAAGTCCAATTTGGAAACATCACAAATGTCTATCAGTAGTAGAATGGATAGATTATGGCATTTTTCATCCAGTGGAATATTTAATAATGAGGAGGAACACACAGCCACATGATGGAATCTCACAAAATGCCAGGCCAACAAAACTAAACATGGGAGTGAGCACCATGAATCCACTGATTTAAAGCTCAAAAATACCCAGAACTAAGGTATGATGTTTTAGACTCATAGTCACCCTTGAAACATGGGGGTGGTTGTGACTAGAAAATAGCTCACGTCACAGACTTTGTTTCTTCATCTGCGTGCTGGTTCACTTGAAATGTAATCGAGCTGGAAAATTCTGATCCATGCATGCACTTCTTTGAATATGTGTGATGTTTAATTTTATGTAAAGAACTTAATTCTGACAACTTTAGAACTTAGTTGTCACCGTGGTTTCTGAGGGTGGGTTTTTATAATAGATAACTCAAATCATCTATTAATAATTCTCATCATTATAACCAAAAACCATTCATTCCTAACTAAAACTATAGCAGAATTATTTGGGGAGTTCTAAGAGACGGTGGTTAACCAAAGGTGAGGCAGGATCTGAGCAGGTGCAGGTGATGAGGGCGTTGTTTGTCTCTAGGGAAGTTACAAACAATGGCAGAAGCATCACCAAATAAAAAGGCTCCCTTTTTATTCTCACCATGTACCCGCGGTTCTAAATGATGTCATGGATAAAATAGTCCTAAAAAGACTATCCCTTCTTGGTCTAAGTCATAAATAATTGGCTAAGTAAGTGTTGAGTTTTTATTTTACATATGCATTTTTATAACATACATGCTTCCAACGAGCACACACACCACTTGTCCATTATATTACTTATCCTTTAGTAATGGGGATACAGCATGGGATTCATTTGCAGAGTAAGTTCTTAACAATTCGAGTCAGTTGAACCTGCTTTGGGTTCTGCAATCACACCATGCTCTTTTTTCCATGGGCTCAGTTAAACGTGAGCAGCCACAGCACAGTGATCATGCAGATGAAAGCGTGGAACTGGAGTTGCTTCAGTTCTCTCATTCTTCATTTCTTCATTTTTGGAGGCTTGTGTTTAAAATTTTAAGCAGCTGAAATAGCTGTCAAAAAAAAAAGTTGAAAGAGCGAGATTTTCTAGCCCACCATTCCTGCTTAACATGAACTTCTTCCAGCCACATTGTTGGAGAACATCCTAAACATTCACCAGCAGAGCATGTGTTAAATTATGGTGTGTCTGTGCTGTGGAACAGTATGCAGCCCCTAGAAACTGTTTCTTTAAAAAAAAAAAGTTAGTGTTAATATTTTGTATCAGTAGTGAGTACTAAGATAGTTACTTTTTAAAAAGCAAGATTTCAAAGTGTGACTACAATTACGTTATTATTTGTGCAAAAAAAAAAAAAGTACATGTGTGGACATCTGCTAAATAGTTCTAAATGGACATTTGAGAAACACTAGTTACTCCTGTCAAGGTTGAGGAGTTCATAAGTAGAAATGTAACTGCACACCATTTTTACAGTTTTTCTCTACTTACTATGCACTTAATTTGACTTTTTAAAAAGTCCTGAAACTTTTTGGCCTAAATTACACCAGAGTTGTAAGAGCATAATCCTCTCTTGTGCACGCTTGCAGATGCACACATGCAGAACCTCACTAATATCCCTCCACTGCAGAATGCCAGAGCTGGAAGCAGAGCAAAGCAAGGGCCTCTCTTGAAGGCCTGCTTTAATGCATGCCACTCACAGGTGCCATGTGGGAAGCTTGAGAGCGATGTCCAGAGCACCTGTGTGCCTAGGATGCTTCCCTGGCCTTTCTGTCCTGGAGGCTGGAGCACCTGCAGCCTTGGGAAGCTTAGATGCAGATCTCAGCTTGCATCAGTTCCCACTAAGCAGCTGCTCTGTGGAGCCAAATGTTAAAACCTTGAACGTGAAAAAAATGCACCTCTGGGTATTTTATTTATTTATGATTGATGCCCCCTATAATTCCAAAGAATAAGATGTGAGAAAGTTCACTCCCTGTATGGATAGTATAAAACTGGACCAAGAGGAAGTGAAAGCAGATTAGAAATCAGTAAAAGGAGCTGTATGGGGTTGCCAGCTACTACAAGTACCTGGGACAAGGTAATTGCTGAACACTGAATTTGGCTTTGGATTCTTGGCTTGAAAAGTGAAGGGGGAAATGTAGAATGTATGCTTCTCTTTATTTGAAGTCAGAAAATAGGAAATGTTGCCTATGAGAATGAACATTTTCCTAATATTCAATTCAGAAAGGAAATCCAAATATATATTTTTGTTGAACACATATACGACTTAGGTGTCCGTGGCGGTTGGAACCTACCTAAGTATTAAAATCAGCTAGTCAAAATGTGCTAAACCTCACAAAATATAAAATCCCATTTGAGTATTAAACCTGCCCACCTCTGTCTCAACAGGTCATGATACCATGTGTATGACCATCTCATTTGGGTGGCAGTCGTGTCCTCCTCTGTCTGCACTCGGTGCCTCTTGGATCTTGGCACTGCTCCCACCCCATCTGCTCCACTCCCAGGTGCCTTTGGTCTGAGGATATAAGACCCCAGCCCTCCCATTCTCTCCTTCGCTGTCTCTGTCCCACCCTCCCCCCCCTTTTTTTTTTTTTAATTTTTTAAGTCCTTCTTTCTGGGTGTGTACCCTCCCAAGACCTTTTTCTCACGCCTAACCATGTCTTCTTTCTTTGGATCCCAGCTGCCTCAGAGGCTTAGAGCCTTCCTGACCCCTAGGGGACCTTCTCTACTGTTTATTTCCATGTCCCTCTGTATCCCTCTCAGTGGGGGCTTCTCTCTGTTATGATACCTTCCTTGCTAAATCACAAGCCCCAGGAGAGGAAGCACTAGCCCTAGCCCAGCTTTTGATCCAGGGCCTGGTGTGTAGCAGGGAGTTTGGGTGGAGGGACCCATTTCTCAGTGACTGCCTTGGTCTGTTCTTGGCTTGCTGCATCCCCACATTTGGGGAGAGGAACAGGTGCAAAAGCCAGCTCCTGGAGACCCCCAACCCCTCTTTGGGGGTACTGGGGATTGAACCCAGGGCCTTGTGTATGCAAGGCAAGCATATTACCAACTGAGCTATATCCCCAACCCTCCTGAAGGCCCTTTTATACTGCATTCATCCATTCATGAGGGCAGGATCCTAAACACCTCCAAGAAAAACCCACATTGTTGTCTTGGAGATTTAAGTACCCAACCCACAAATGTTGGGGCACACATTCAGATCATAGCAATGGCCTGAACGCTTCAGCAGCCTTCTCCAGTGCATGTTTTATCCTGCTGAGACACTATTCTCTGAAGCACAGCTCTAATCTCTTTGCTTCTTGGCACTAAAACTTTCCCTGGTCCCCATTTCCTACAGGATACAACCCACACTCCTTATTTAACTCTCTATGACTGGGGCCCAAGTTGCATTTCCAAATTCCTCTCCCCCAGTCCCCTTAGTCTTTACACCATAGCTGTAATGAAGCACCCTTCCCTCATCTAGCTGTCTCTTAACTAAGACTTGGCTAAAAGCAATGCTTTTCATTGTCTGAGCTCTGAGTACCTTTGACATGGTATTTGTTTTCTGTTTGCATGGTAACTAATTTATGTGCCTATCTTCCATGTTAGGTTGCGACCAAGTCCTATCTAGCATCCAGTATGAACCTCATACAGTAGGTACTTACTAACAGTGTGGTAAATGAATGGCAGTTATTTAGCATCTTTGTAAATCAGCCATTTGTAGGAACTGTTTCCCCTCCAGATGCCCTATTTCTTTTAAAGTTTCTGTTTAACATATATAACAAATGGCTAATCAGCTACATAGTCTCCTGTTCTTTTAAATCTCTCTGAAGACTAGTGAATATGAGTCTAATTTATGTCCCACTCTCTGTACACATTTCAGAGAGTGCTAATCTTATCTTTGGTTACAAAGGCACAGTTTTATTCTGATACCGAATGCAAGAAAGCAACACAGAATGGAAACACATAGCATGGGCTTTTCAAGGAAGATGCCCAGATTAGCACCCTCCACAAAGTGACTGCTGGGCATTGGCCTTGTTTCTAGAAGATCATCTTTTCCATGTGGCTCTCCCCTGGGCTCAGTCGCTGATGGCCTTGCCTTGGCATTGCTGTCTCAGGAGTGAGACTCCTGGGATGAGAGAATAACCCCGCCCCCATTTCCTTTCCTACAGGCCGACTTAAACTGCAATATCCAAGATGATGCCGGGGCTTTTTATGGTGTAACCAGCCAGTATGAGAGTTCTGAAAACATGACAGTCACCTGTTCCACCAAAGTGTGCTCCTTTGGGAAGCAAGTAGTAGAAAAAGTAGAGGTAAGTTGGTCTCTGATAACGAGAACTTCACTCAAGGGCAGCCCATTGCCTTCTTCAATCTTTCATGGGGACAGAGAGTTGTGCTGTTTTATTTTTATTTTTTTGTGGTGCTGGAGATCAAACCCAGGGCCTTGTACATGCGGACCGAGCACTCTACCAACTGAGCTATATCCCCAGCCTCAAGTTGTGCTTTTTTGATGTCTCCTCCTTTTTCTCCCACTTCTCCTCCTTTTCTTTGAAAGGCAAAATGATTTGGAAGTACCTGAAAACAAGTAGGAAGTCTGGTGACAGCCCTCTGTGTCTGAAGCTAGCGCTACTCACTTTGGGGTGCAGCCTCCTGGGGTCCCCGGGAATGTTGGGTTGAGCCAGGCTCTCCCAGCCCACTCCGGGTCCAAGGGCACTTCCAGCATTGTGCATTAACAGTCAGGTTGGCTTTTAGCTGATTGGCATGTCTCTTATAAAATCCTGACACCTGATGCTTTTACTATTTCCACTCCCTTTATTTTAATTGCTTTTACTACATTTCATTCTATATTAGGATCAAATATGTACTTACAGCTTTTATACTTCTTGCCTCCCTCCCTTTAAACAAATGTTTGTTTTATCCGGGTGATCTGTTTTGCAGTTGACTTACCTTTTGAAGTTCTCCTTTCCCAGGCCTTTCACCCTCCTCAAATTGGTCCATGTTTAGTAAATAGTTTTTATTTGCAGCAGATCTGGACCTCTCAGATCCAGGAGTCCAATCTGGCTGACAAAGACTCTGTGTTGCAGGGTGAGCAAGGATGCCTTGTGGAGTCAGGATGAGAATCAAAGGTCACTTTCACATTTTATGCTTGCTGTTAGGTAGAAATAAGAATACAAGGTGTTCAGGAGGATATAGGGGAGGATTATAGATGCAACAGGTAAAGACTGGAAATCTCAATTGGGAATCCTGAGTATTAAGGCTAATTAGAGCTGTGGAAATGGAGAACTAGCCACCTGAAGGGAATAACAAGACATCAGGATGAGGATTAAGTTTGAGCAGCAGCAGCCAGTCCTGGGGCAAGTAGCAGGGAGGCATAAGCAGCAGAGCAGGGATCAGAGATCATAAACAGAATGAAGAGGCAGGGCAGGGGCTCAGCACGATGCCCGGGAAGCCCAAGGAGAGGGGAAGAAAGAGGCTGTATAATAAGACAGGACTGGGAGACCCGGAGGAAATGTAGTTACCCCTCACTGGAGGGTCTGTGTTAGGCAGTGTTAGTAAACAGCCACGCTGTGAGGGGTATTCTCTGCACGTGGGCTTCTCTGCCTGGACCAGGTGCATGTGAGAAAAGGTGAACCAGGTAGTTTATTTATTTTCCCAGTTTCAAACTATTCCTCATGGTGTCCTCAGATGGTACAGCCAAAGCTCTACAAGTTCAGGGTTCAGGGAGAGGTTGCTTTTGATTTGCAAAATCCCAGGAATTTTCATGGAGAAGATGGTCTGAGTGTGGCAGGTATGCTTTAGAGTAAAGATCTGAATTCATTCAGAATGTATGCCCGTATTTGGTGGGAAGTAGTAAGCTTGCTTATATTTTCTTCCAAATACATAGGCATTTGTGTCTAACCAAATGTGTTCTTTTCCAGTTAAACAGATCTGTCCCCATTAACTTGCCATATATATTGGGAGCTGCTCCTAGGCTCCATTCTAGTGAATCCACTATCTTTACCATGTGAATTTAATTACAGTGGCTCAATAGTAGGTTCTGATATTGATGAAGCAAGTCAATCTCATCATTCTTTTTCATATGTTTTCTAAGCTAGCAACTGGCTTTTCTATTTCAAAACAATGAGCACTTTTTAAACAAAAAACTTTGAGCAATTTAATTGTAATTGCACTGGATTTAGATATTTTGGAAAAGTTGGCATATTATTAATATTAAACTTTGTAATCAAGAACCTATTTCCTCCAGGCATGGTGGGGCACACCTGTAATCCCAGCAGCTCTGGAGGTGGAGGCAGGAGGATTGCAAGTTTAAAGCAAGCTTCAGCAAAAGCAAGTTGCTAAGCAACTCAGTGAGACCCTGTCTCTAAATAAAATACAAAATAGGGCTGGATGTGGCTTAGTGGTTGAGTGCCCCTGAGTTCAATCACTGGTACAAAAAAAAAAAAAAGACCTATTTCATATTATTTCATATTTACATTTCTATCTCAATAAGGTTTTATAGCTTTATCATACTGATTTGCCATTGTTAATGTATTTCTGAAAATTATATAATTTGTCATAATTTCTGTTTCTAGATTCTAATTACTCTGACAGAAAAGCCCTTGGATATTGCAATCTATATTTAAGATCTATATGAAGATGTCTTCACTGTGGTTATCTTAAGATCTCTTAACTCTGGTGGGTTTTCCCCTAGATTCTTGGGTTTTCTGTATACATAATCTTAGTTATAGCAGAAAAACCCCTAATTTATTCTCCTCTTTGCCCATGTTTATGTCAAATTTTTTATTATTTTCTCACTTTTCATTTGCTAAAATTTCATCGAAGTTGTATCAGGCAATATTGATGTAGGCATCTTTGTATAGTTCTGATGTTAGTAGAAATAGATTTGGTGTTTTACCATTTATGATTAGGGTTACTATTGGCTTTTGTAAATGGTATTTATTACATGTGTAAGGGCTTTTAATTTCCATTTTGCTTAGGGTTTTTATTAGGAATAACTGCATTATTTTATTAAGTGCCTTTGAGCATCTCTTGCTACATGATTTTTCTCCAATTTGTTGATGTGAGTTGAGTCAGTGAGGTTTCTGGGTATGAACCTCTGCAGCATTTCCTCCTATTTGCTTTTGGATATGTTGCTAGAATTTCTTTGCTGATATTTTACATCTCACCATATTTTTCTATACTTCTTTTTTTTTAATATAACCTATCAAGTTTCAGTATTGAATGTATACTCATTTAATAAAAGGAATTAGTATGTGTACTTTTTTTTTTTCTTTAACAGAATAAATAACATTGAAAATAACTATTCTTTAAAGAGTACATAAACCTACCTTTGAAACAGATTTTTTTAAATATCTTTTGAGTTATCAGTGGACCTTTATTTTATTTATTTATATGTGGTGCTGAGAATCGAACCCAGTGCTTCACACTTACAAGGCAAGTGAGCCACAGCCCCAGCCTACAATTTGTTCTTTATCTTTTTAAATGATCTATTTTTAATTTACAAGTAAAAATTAAATGTATTTATTGTACACAATGTGAAATTTTGAATTATGTATACATTGTGGAATGGCTAAAATTGAGCTAATTAGCATATGCATTACCACTCTTTTTTGGGGGGGGGGTGAAAATGCTTAAAATACTTGGCAATCTTCAAGTGTACAATATATTGTTACTAACTAAAACATCACTGTGTGTAATCAATCTCTTGAACTTATTCCACCTATCTAAATTTGACATCCTTTGCAGTCTCTGTATCTTCTCCAAGGGTAGATATTGAAGTCACTTTCTAGTCCTGGTCATTTCCAGTCATTGATCTATTGACTTTTTCCACTTCTTTTTTGTTTGATATTAGCAATTTGAGTTTTTCTGGGAAAGTATCCCTATCCTCTAGGTCCTTTGCTATGTGAAGCAGATGTGAAGTACCCTGTTGGATCTCATGGGTGCATTGTAGGAGAGGCATGCTGGGGACCAAACCGTAGGCCTTGTGCCCGCACATGTTCTTAAGCACTGAGCTGTGCTCCCAGCCCTTGTATGGCTTCTCATCTCTACTACAGTTGTGGTTTTGCCTCTTTCTTTTCTTCTTTTTTTTTTTTTCTTCAATCTCCTTTTTAAATGTGTAAAGGGCTTATTTTGTTTTGTCCTTTTAAAGAACCAATTTTTAAATTTATTCTGTCTGCATTTTAAATTTGTTTCATTGATTTGAGCTTTTATCTTTATTAATTTCCTATTCCTGGTTTCCTTTGGTTTCTTTGTGGTTTGGATTTATTTTGTGGGGTTTGTGCTTCTTTTTTAAACATGTCTTTAGTTCTGCAATTTTTTGTCTTTTAACGGTGAAGACATTATGAGGCTGCTTCATTAAGTTTCCTTCAAGCAGAGGTTAATTGTGCCCCCTAAGTTTGGATACATTTTCCTTTTCACAGCTTATAATTTCCTTTTTAATTCCTTTTTCATCCAGGGTGATCTGGAAGTGGTTTTAATTTCTGAGTACTTCCATAGGGTCTTCAAAGTGCATATATGTTAGCTCTTCCTTCCTTCCTTCCTTCCACCCATCCACATGATAAATGTGAGGTGACCAGTTTTTCTTGAAGTAAAGAAATTAACTATATGATTTGTTGGGGCTTTAAGACCTTATCACAGTAAAGAGGGGCTTCTCTGGGCTCTTTAAGAACTGTAACTTGCTGGGGGCTGCTCTTACATCTCCAGGAAGAGAATCACTAAGCAGCTAGTTTGGGGTTTTGTTGTTTTTTTTTTTTTTTTTTTTTTTTTTGCTGAAATGACCTATCAGATTCCTCTTTGAAGGTATCATCTTTCCAGTGATCTTTTTAAAAATATTTTTTAAAAGTCAACTACCTGAAGAGCATGGCACATAACAGACAATTCATGTTGAAAAAGCAAAATGCTTTTATAGACAGTAATAGCTGTTTCTGGTATTTTGAGGTCAAAGTATAAAAATGCTCAAATCTTTTTTCTTTTAACAGACGGAGTATGCAAGGTTTGAGAATGGCCGATTTGTATACCGAATAAACCGCTCCCCAATGTGTGAATATATGATCAACTTCATCCACAAGCTCAAACACTTACCAGAGAAATATATGATGAACAGTGTTTTGGAAAACTTCACAATTTTATTGGTAATTCTTTTGTTTCTTCCTTCTCTAGACAGATTCTGCCACAAGGCTTGCTTGGGATAGTAAGAAAGGTGGCTGGGGAGCCACCAAGGCCTTAGCCAAGGGAACTTGGATGGGGCCCCAGGTGGTCAGCTAGCAGTGGAACTCACAGCTTCCATCTAGCAAAGTTGGGCCATATTTGGGCTTGAGTTATTAGAAGTTCTCTTCTAATAACTCATCTGGGGGTCTCATCTGGGGGTTTCTAAATTTGGCAGAACTGGAATTCAGGTGGGTGTTAAAAAGTGGTGACCTTAGGTTCTCAACTCCAGCTGCACGTTAGAAAGACCTAAAGAAAATGTTTAAAATCCTGATACCCAGGCTGACCCTTGGTCCACTCATTCAGGCTCTCTGAGGGCTGGACGCAGGCATGTGTGTTTTTTGAAATTCCATGGGTAATTCCAGTGTTAGCCACAGCTGAGTCTCAGCAGCTATGTAAAATGCAAATCATAAATGAGGCAGAAGCTGAGTCCATAGGTTTGCATTTCAAACATACCTTGACTCACTTCATGAAGGATTTGCAAGGCCTTATAAGAGGCAACATATATTAAGAAAATATAAGCTCTCCTGCGAGAACTATAAAATTACAATAAAATGACCAGGAAGGGGAAGAAAGTGTTCTTCACAAACTGAAAAAAATATGGCAAAACTTAAGGGGCAGCTAAAGGGAAAGGAAAAGATGAATGTGCTCAAGACCATGACAGGAAACCTACCAGTCCCCCCACACAGTGCAATACAGGGGATTAAGTGATGTTTGACTTTAGGCCAACTCCTCCTGGGGGCTTCATTTGAGAACTTTGGAAAGGTTGTGAGGCATAGCATTTTATACTTAGAGAATATACATTAAGAGTTTTTTTTTTTTTTTTTTTTTTTTAATAAGGCTTTAAAATAAATACCAAAACAAAACTTGGTAGAAACAATTTCATTAAAGGGGTACCAAGATAATACTCCAGTCACACACGCAGCCCTCTGACAGCTTACTCTATTACTCTTTGTTACTAGGATTAAGAACTAGAATACTTAGAGTGGAAATTCTTTACCTGGAGTTTTGGTTCTATTTGGTCAGTGGTTCTCAATCAGTGATATACTTTCTTTGTTATTTTTAAGCACTCTTTCCTAAACCTGCACCCCATTCCAAATTCTGATTTATACTTTTTCCCTGTTTCCATAGTGTAAATATACCCCCCATGAGCAATTTCAAGCTACCAATTGTTGTCTAGCTCATGAAATTTCTTACTATTAACTATAACATTCAAAGCCAGTAGAATCCAGCTCCCATGTACCACGGTTGCAAAGAAAAAACAATCGGTTTTTAAAATTAAAGCCCTTCACATATTAAAAAGTTTAACACGTATGAAAGAGTAAAGGGTTTATCCAGGACACTCTTTGTAATCTGAGGCCTGGGCCCCACTCCAGATGAATCCCTGAGGTGGGGCCCAGCATCATGTCTTTTTGTTTAATTGTAAAGCTTTCCAGGCAGTTGAAGTGAGCAACTAGGACTGAAAGCCACTGCTATAAGCAGACTGGCAAATGAGTTTCAGAGTTCACGGGGATGAGACTGGCATGCAACCGGCAAACAGTTTTGCATGTAAGTGTCATATATTTTAGGGAGAGAACTTAGTGGATTCTCGGATATTCCTACATGCCTCTACACTTCAGAAGCCAGCAATCAGGAAAAAGAATTTGGAATACCTGTTCATAGTAGCTATTCATTAGTATCTTTTCCTCTAGAGGTCTTTTGGTGAAAACTGAGTGGTTCTAGTGTGGGCGCTGGCAGGGAGCAGGTACTTGTCAGAGATTTTTCTCTACTATTTAAAGAACAGGCACAGCAGCTTAGCATTCACGTGAGCAAGCTAGAATCCTGCTGTGGACTTCATAAACAGTTTCAGTTCTTGGTCAGAACTCTGAGTGGACGGCCACCACTTCTTGGAGGGCATCTTAGCTGATGCTTAAAAACCAGCCTTGTCTGTTTCTGTACATTAAGGAAGATGTTATTCCCAGGTCCTGACTTTCTACCTCACAGTGCACAGTGGGATAAAATGGCCAGGAAAGGTCCGAGTGCCTATTTCCCCCAGAGCCCAGGTAATCATCAGGAGTGCTTTCTCAGGACATGTGGCTTGAACCAGCATGGCTGTCCAGGAAACTCAGGTTCGATTAATAACTTCACAATGTGTCACTAAACAGTTAGACATTCCTTTGATATGAGGAATTGGTAACTACCAATAAGAATCTGCTGGAAATATCATAGCCTTAGAAAAACTGCAGTTAAGCCAGCACTCCTGGATTATGAAAGTCATGTCATCTAATTGATGAACAGGAGAAATTATGCTTTCCAGCTCTTCCTCAGGGACAGGCCATTATGAAATCTCCAACTGGACAAAGTTGGAGGGACTTTACTGGGTATTTTAGATACAATCCTTGTGTCATCAAGGCCAATTCCCAACCATGCTGGCTGATGGAATGGGTTATCTGATTGCATCAAGTTGATTCAGAAGTTGAGCTGACCTGGTTCAAGAGGATGGAGAAGCCTTCCTGAGGGAAAAGGAATTGAATAGGCCACCTTGAACAAGTTGAACCTTGAGTAGATTAACCCCTCAGCTCCTTCTCCAAGGGGAATAGTAATACCACTCACTCATAGAGTTGTTGGAATGTCATATGCGACAATCTATAGAAAGCATTTAATGCTTGAGTAGATGTAGAGAAGGCAATCAGTATGTGTTGGCTACTGTGTAAATTTCCATTCATTCAGCAAATATTTATTAAATGACCATGTGTGTTGTGCACTGAGCTAGTTACTGGGAAACATGGTCCCTGATCTTCAGGAATTTATAATCCACTGAATGAGATGGATATTTAAAGAAAAAAAAATCACACAATTCTTTAGGGAAAATCAGAAGCATTATGAGACTTTAATCAGGGCATATTAATTTGAATGCCTCTAGGAAGCAAATACAGGAAGCAGCCTGGCACATAGGAGGAAAATAGGTCTAGGATGGGCCAGACAGGCTCTTGAATCTAGAATGTTTTCAAATACCAAAGTAATAGGAGAGGGCTGAGGCTGTAGCTCAGTGGTAGAGCACTTGCCTCATATGCATGAGGCCCTGGGTTCAATCTTCAGCACCACATAAAAGTAAATAAAATAAAGATATTGTATCCATCTACAACTAAAACAATATTAAAAAAAGAAAGAAAGAAAGTAACAGGAGAGTAATTGAAGTGGCTTGAGTAGGGAAGTATAGTTGGATTTGCATGTAGAAACTTCCTCTGAGGATGGTGTGGGGACTGCAGCTGAGTGAGGAGAGAAGGTAGCAATGACTTGGGCCAGAAGCTGTGGCCATGGGGTGAGGAAGGAAATGGCTTCAAGAGCCATAACTGAAGAAGTAATAGATGGTGCTTCAGCATACATGTTGAAAGGTAAAGCCTGTGCCCACGGAAAGATTGTCACTGGACATGATTCCACCTGTACCTTGTCCTTTATATGGCAAATATTTTGCTGAGTCTAGGCTCTGCTGGTGAATACAGTGATGAGCAAGGCACCCACAGAGCTCCTGCCTGTCACTGGCAATTGTGAAACAAAATGTAGCATGAATTTAAGAATAAGGTAGGAGAAAGAATACATTTTAAATGTTTTCATCACAAAGAAGTATGTGAGGTGATGAATATGTTAATTAGTCAGTTAATCAATGTATACATGTACCATGACATCACCTATTATTTGACACTTAAAAATATAATTAAAATAGGGCTGAGGATGAAGCTCAGTGGTAGAGCACCTGCTAGTATGCATGAGACCCTGGGTTTGATCCCCTTACGGGGCAGGGGTTGGGGGGGAATAGCTGCGTGTGTGTGTGTGTGTGTGTGTGTGTACACAATAAAAATAATAAAGTAGGACACAATTGCTTAGGATAAATAGTTATACAGTGGGACAGAATTATAGAAAATTCCCTTAATTATTTTAGAAATCAGGCTTCAGAAAATACCCAAACACATAAACCATACTGATTCTTTTGCTCTCTTCTTGAGCTTAGAAAATAGATGAGAGACCATCTATAAGGTCTTTCTTGCTTATGGCATCCTGCTTGGACGGGATTCAAGTTCTCGAGATATGTGTTAAATGGTGCAGAGGGAGGCCGACTGGATTCCTAACCCACTGATCTGACTTAAGACTGCTCTTCTCTAATTCAGTCATGGTCCTGGGACACAGCGGGAGTGTGCCTTCCTCCATGAGGTGCCATATGTATGTACCTTTTCTTTTCTTTTTTAAACAGGTGGTAACAAACAGGGATACACAAGAAACTCTCCTCTGCATGGCCTGTGTATTTGAAGTTTCAAATAGTGAACATGGAGCACAACACCATATTTACAGGCTTGTAAAGGACTGAACATGATTATTTATATATATAGATATCTGTATATACACACACCTATGTGCACACACACACTCTCCATTATTGAACGACTGACTGTAAACCTCACCACGTGGGTGGTGTCCTGGCCCCGAGGTCACCCCAACTTTTCTAAATCCTGTTTGAGTGAAGTCATTTTTTCATGTGTTCATACTATCATTGTAGCTGTGAAGTTCTGGTACAGTTGTAAAGAGAAATCGAGTTGTTTCTATGTGTTCTTCAGATCTGCAGCCCATAATTCCTCGGGAAAGGAAAACCTAAACAACCCAGGTCTCTCTCTACAGAGACCTGTTTCTTATTGTGGTAGAAAATATTAAGACAGAGCATTGCCCATGGGACATTTACTGCCTTTACACAAATGTATTTAGTTCTCTTTTTTTTTTCCAACATGAAATTCTTGTTTTAAGATACAAGTAAAATTAATCTTTAAATATAAATGTAAATTAGTACACAAAACTAAGAATCTTTAGACTTATCTTTGTAACTAATTAGGGTGGAAGTTATAAAAAGAATGTAATTCACTAAATTATTTTTTAAATGAAACCTTTCTTTCTTTTTGAAACCAAATGTTAAACTATAGCCTTAAGAAATGCTTGGTAGAAATATCCTAATGAGACAAATTTGTACTTCTTTCCTCAAGGTTAAAACTAATCTTCTAATCCATTAAACTCTTGAACAGGTATTACAGAGGAAGAAAACTTCACCCCTTATCCTTAACATATATAGTATATTTAAAAATGTAAAATTGTATTGTACTAATGTGATGGTTGATTATTTAATGAAAAAAGAAAAGATGGCTCTTTTTGCAATAAGTAGATAAATACTGAAAAATCTAAACTTACAATGTTTATAGTCTTGTGTGTGCAGTTATATTTTATATGGACAACCAAATTTTTTATTAAGAGTAAACATCTGAACCATTGAAATTTAATAGCAAAATTTTAAAATTGGCATGAATACTGCACTGTGAGCTGCAAAGTATAGAGAATCCTGTGGCTGGGAGAAAATTTCAACAACCAAACAAGTAAAAGGCTCATCAGGTTTAGCAACTTTGCTCCCCAGAAAATTGTAAGCATCCCTACCAGCCTGTGGATAAATTCTTTATTTCTGGTGACCCAATATGCGTAGGAACCTGATGTGACTATATGTGTATGAATGCCATCGCATATGTACACATATACAGACATGGTTATTCAACATTTGTAACATCTGTTTAGTGTTGCTCAGTTTGCTAGGTGCTGATACCTATGTGTATCTCAGTCTGCATCTATACTTAGATACGTTCTCTCTAAGGATATTCATTTTCTAGACATCTCTCAGTAAGATGCAATGGCCCTTGTAAGACCTAGGTTTAAGAGGCCTAATGTTTGTTCGTTCTCTCTCTCTCTCTCTCTCTCTCTCTCTCTCTCTCCTTTTCAAACAGGCTCCTTCAGGAGGTTCTCTCTTTGGGAGAGATTCAACTTTCCAATTCACATATTCCAAAGCATTTCCCAGGCAGAGTTGGTTCCTTGTGGCCGCGTGTCTTGGATTATTTTCATAAGTGCTTCACTGGGGAGAGAAAAGGGGCTACCTCTCGACTTTCTAGAGGAAAATGATGATCTTATAACCATCAGGAATATGTGAACACAGTAGAACATAAAATAAGTTTTGTAAGGTGCAAAACATCACCAATACTAGAACATAGTTTACCACATCCAAGTTTACCACATCTGACACACCCACTTCCTTACCCTGCCATATGCTCGGACTGTGCTTGTACATTGTCTCATATCTTGTGGTCATGAGTATAAGGGTTTGCCTTGGCTTATGATGAAAGGAAAACACTAGACTAACCCCGATGTCTCTCAAACACATCACTGGTCACTGGGAAGACCAGAGAACATGCAAAACTTTCCCACTTGGAATGCACATCCTTGCATAAACCAGTAGGGTGGTGCTCATCTTCCCTCCATAGTAAGGCCTGCCTTTGTTCCCTGGTTCCAAGCCAGCCTCTGAGGAATTGCCCTAGTTTTCTGCTCTTCTGTCCGGTCTTCAGCCCAAGCACTTACGCATCTTTCATGGTCATAATATTCATAATGGCTTCTGTCGGGCACCCCTCTTAGGAAAGTTACTTTGGCTCCCATTTCTTGCATTTTTCCTCAAGGGAACTCCCCATACACATACACCCCCCACCCCCAGAACAAGGACTATATGAGTAGGTGCAAATGACCTCATGTGGTTTTAGAGCCAGGCCAGCCCAGAACTTCAGGGGCAGAGATGTCTGGGTTTTTTTCCCACATGAAAGTGCACTTCTAATGTGCTACCAGAGGGACTCTTGGGATTCACTTTCAAAGCACAAAAATTCTAGAACCCAAGAAGACCAGCTACAGGATGAGCGCTACTAGCTGCAGAGAAGGCCACAGCTGGCCAGGTGTCTTCACAGGGTCAGGCTAGGTCCTCTTCTGCCTGGGTTCCCACATCTTTCTCTGAATGTCCTTGGAGTTTAATTTGGGGGGTTTACCTAAATAACCTTGAGAATGACTCTTGATTTAAATTTGCATTTAAAACAGCTATAAGATTTTTTTAAATTTTCCACTAAAGCTTTCATCAGGACAGATATTTTCCTTGTCTTAACTACTGGTCCAGTTACTCCAAACCCTTGGGCTTGCTTGCTTAGTCTCTACCAAATTAACCCTTTGGGTGAAACTTGTATCGTTATACCTAATCCAAGTCTCTGATGCTTCCTATATGGTTCTTCCTTCTGTCTGTGTTTTAAGTTTCCTAAACCATAATGAAGCCTTTGCAAAGTCAGTCCTCACCTCTCTCCCAGGTGCTCTCCCCTGGTGACCTCCAGAACCAGGTTTGCCTGAGACGCAGTGTGCTTTCACTTCGGAGCTCAGAGGCCAACTTTGCCTAGGGAGGAGCTGAAGTACAGGGCTCTGTTCTGTTGGCATTCATTTCTACCATCCTTAGATGCCTATGCTAAAACCAGAGTCACTTCAAGACATGTCCCTGGCCAGAATCTCTGGCATGTCCAGGCTACCTGAGCTCAGCCTTGATGCTGTGGACATCTTGGACCAGATCATTCTTTGTTGTGTGGGGCTGTCCTGGGCATTATCAGAGGTTTACTAGTGATCTGGCCTCTACTTAGTAGCACTACTTTGCACAGTTGTCACAAGTCAGTGTCCCCTAGACATTGCCAGTGTCCCCTAGGGTACACAGTCATCCCTCATCAAGAACAACTGTCCTGCATCTTACAGACCACATCTCTATATTGGTAATGGTTTCTCCTTGCATTTCACCTGTAGGATCTTCTCTCCCGGGAGCCTTTATCAGATCTTCAAGAGGCAGGTGGGAATATGTTGATCAAGTGACATTATGTCCATGTTTCCTCCTGCTCTAAAACTTCTCTGATTTGACCTTCAGCCCTTAGTTACCAGAGGCTTTGAAAAAAAAAAAAAAAAAAAAATCCCAGCAGTTTTTGTTATTTCTCATAAGTTCTTGGGTCTCCTCATCAAACCTTTAATCCTTCTGGTTTATTTCCTCCGGCTGCTTCTACTTTCTGCCTTATAGTCAGTGCTGTTTGTAGAACTTATTGAAACCTCTCAAACATTTTTTTTTTTTCATCTTTGGGGATGGATTGGAGAAGAATCCATTCCAGAAGGGGACTTGCAGAGTTTTTCTTTCTTGAGCTAAGAGAGAGCACAACATACTACTTCCCTGCATTTTTTGAATGAAGAGGTTGAGGCCAGAGGAGAGATGAGATGACTTGACTAAAGTCACCCAGCTGTCTCGTGACCAAGTAAGGCTGAGGACTTCTAGGGCGCTTGCCTCTTTAATCCTTGGCCTCTTCCACGCGAGGCCATTCTTCTTTGGTGCTCTATGCTTACATAATCCCTAAGAATATTTGGACAGGGTTGGTTCAGAAGAGAGGGGAGAGTCAGAATCCCCTGTGCAGAAGCACCATGTTACCCGTGCTGCTTCTCCTGGGGTAGTGCTGCGCCTGACCGCGGCTGTCTGAGCAACCAGCACAGGTAGGAAAGCTGATGAGCCTTTTCGCCTCCTTTGAGGACAATGCACCTGCCACAGGCTCTCAGTCAAATTTTTATTTCCTAAGCATCCCAGCAGCAAAGTCCTGCCCTCAGACCAGCCAAATAAAAAAACAGTCCCCTATTCTGAACACTTGGTGTTTGAAAGTCCCCAGGTGACTTTTAAACCCAAGTCTTCATTAGATTTCAATACTGTGGTGGCTTTAGCCATTGTTTTTGTACAACCGTCAATTATTTAAATCACACGACAGTCAATTTTACAAACCAGGTACATATCATTTGTATAATTTTGTATATGCTCTGGTACACTACACCTGTCCCAACGAAGAGTAGAGCTGATTGTTTGTTGGTGTTCACACCTGTGACATTAGGGGGACATCTGCATTGCTGATTTCTCTATGTTGATGTTTCTGTGGCAAATCCCTGCACGTGTCATTTCTGAAAAGCCTTAAATCTTGGAGACGTTGCGTGTCGGGTCTGTAGTGCAAAAGGCTGCCTCGGAACCGTGAGCCCTTTTGTAAGCTGGAAGCATTTCTCTTACTACTGTTACTTTTTTAGGAAGTTTTCAATTCAGAGCTGCCAAAGCGTTCCAGTAAGCAGTGCCTTAGCAATACCTTAGTCGTACCGCCAGCCTTTTCTCACGCCTAGACTCCCTGTCCACTTACCAATTGGCCCAGTATTTGAAACAGGACAAGCAAAAATTGTTTTCGTTTTGTTTTTGAAGCCCACCATTTTTCTTCAGTTGGGTAGGAAACTGACGACTTGGCCTGAAATCTGAAACCGGAATCCAAGTCGGTTCTTTGACCACTGCTCTCAAATGTATATACCAAAACAGAAGGTTGCAACTTTGTAGTTTACTATGAAAAGCAAATTGTACTTTTATTGTTGCCTTTTAAATTCATGACCAAATACTTAGCTATTTGTGAATCTTCTGCACTCCAGCATGAAAGTGCCTTTGGTTTGAGATTTCCAGCTTAGAAAAGGGCTGCCATAATAACGATAATTTGTAGAGAGACCAAAAATATTTTGAGATCACCGTAATGCCTTTGGTTTACCGGGATGAGTAACCAACCACAGGCCTCTGTTCACAAGAGCACCACGTGGTCGCCGCCTGCCTGCCAGTGGGGGCCCCACCACCACCCGCCATAGCACACCGCTGCAGGAGCGACCCAGAAACTGTTGTGTTTGTGTGTGCCGATGGCCCAGCGTGCCGTTTCCGCCCGTCACCCAGCCCTGCGTCCAGATGAAGGAATTTCCGCACAAACAACAGAATCTTGGCCGGTGGACAGATATTACAGCTTTTGCCTTCTCCGTGTGTTCGTGTTCAGTCTCCGTGGAGACTCCTTTCCATTCAAATGACAGTGCGCACTTATCTGGTTTACACAATGACACCATTTCGAAAGTTGGAAGCCTCAAACTGAGATGACAGTGCAGAACAAAAATGTGTTAGGGTCATTACAATTGAAGTGTTCTTCTTAGGGCAAAAGTGTTGCCTCTGAGTGTTGTGTATGGATGTGCTATGAGAAACTTCCAAAGAGCACCATTCACAATTTGGCATTTTCAAAGAATGTTCCAGCCCTCAAAGGGGGCAACTCCTTAAAAGTCTGTTTCGGCTTATATCAAAACCTTGTGTAACATGGGAAAACTGATAGAGGTGAGGTTAAAAAAAAAAAAAAAAAAGGAAAAGGAAAAACAAAACACCAGCCAAAAAGAAGCCAGGAAAAAAAAAATCAGTTTTTTTCTTTGCTAAT